TGCAGTAGTAATGTGAGATGAAAGTGCTTTTAGATTGATGGGAAGATGCAGCTCTGGCAGTGCCAGTGCCTAACATGCAGGGAGCAGAGGAGTGACACTGCTCAGCAGGCAGGAGTAGCCACAACAGGCAGCACAGACCAAAACAAAATTAGCTCAGGACACTCTTGTTCTGAGATGAGGATTCGTGTGGTGACTTGAACATCATTCTACTTCTTTTAACTACTTTAATGTATTCTTGCACTGGGGTATGGAAGTAGAAAACTATTGCTGGGGCTAGCTGTAGTCTGATAATACCTTTACTAAATGTTAAGTCAACAGCTATTGCCATACCTATGTAAACAGAAGCAAAATAAGTTTATCAAAAGGAAGGGACTGATTTTGAAAGCTTAAATTTAACATTAGACTGGATAAACAGAATATCAAGGACACTTTGAAAAGCCCTTTAGTTTCCAGTGATGTTTCAGAGGAAGGCAAGTGGCTCTTAAGTTTAATCAAGATGTAATGTTTCAAGCAATTATAGGAGGGGAATGGTCTGAATTCTGCACCTTCCTTCATTCTGTTCACTTGTGCAATAGGTTGTCTGTGACTGCCCGGTAGGGAAACAACAACTCGTTGGCATTGGCACCTTGCTCGTTGAAGCCTGTATTTCAAGGTCACACTAACTCTGTGTTGGCTTTTACTGAGGATGCATCTTATTCAAGTGTTTTGCTAAACTCTGAATTATGAGTATTTAGTGTAGCTGCTCAAATTTCTTAGGTCTGAATATGCAGACTTTTCTGTCTGTCTTCATTTTGGAGGCTATTCAGATTGAGCACTTTGGAAAGTAGCCAGGTTCTGAAATTAAAATTCCCTCCAGAAATTTTTCTGCTGTTGTGTGGGTCCTTTGCCATATGACATGCTGTGCTGAAACGATGTGTTGTAGGGTGGTCCCTCAGTAGGGACTGAGCTGGAGCTGATCTGCATTCATAGCAGGTTCTAATACTGCTCTAAAAGGACATCAGTTCTGGAAGTAGAAATGGGAAACACTATGGGTTATTTTAAGTGATGGATGTCTGAATTTTTCTAGCTGCTAGAAGTAAACTTGTTAAACAGCTTATGACAGCAGTGCTGCATCTCTGATATCTTCTGGTGACTTAGGATGTCTGAGTGTGAATAGCCAGTATATTCTTGTACGTACCTAATTGGTACTTTCCACAGCCAAATGTTGATACTGAAAGTACCATTTAGTTGTAAATCTATAGCTGGAATTTTTGAGTCTCTCATATCCTGCTATAGTATTAAGCTCTAGATAACTAGTGCACCTTGGCTTATGCATGTTAATTATATTGTTTCTTGCCCTCTAAGAAAGATCTCTGACCATAGGAGAGAACATGCTGGCAACTGGATATTGCCAATGTGTTTAGCATTTTCAGGTAACAGGCTGGAACAACCCTTTTGGCTGGCAGCACGGATTTTGCAGGATGTGTTGCTTTTTTATTGGCTCAGGATCACCTGAATGCACTAGGAGAGGCGGATCCTTGTGCATCCTGTACCTTGATGTTTGCATCATGCCTGTTTGGCTGTGTTTCTTGTAGCAGTTGCCAGTTTTGTTCAATTCACTCTAGTAGTCTCTCTAGTCTGTGAGTACTCTGAGGCTAAAAGCTACAATAGAAACTCCCAAAACTGCCAAATGATGCTTGCTTTTTATGCCATGCTTACGTAATTTCATCTTTAGATGTCTCGGAACAGTCTGCGGCAGGTCTCTGAGACAGGAGCCAACAATTTCTAATCACTAGAGCAAATGTGTGACCCATTGGCCCCCCAAGGTGCGAGAGGACAATTCTACAGCAAGAGGGGGTCTGGGGGTGTTGACAGCAGCCTGGGAGCATAAAACGAGAGGATGGAGCTAGACTCCTTACTGAGGTGTATGTGGCAGGAAAATGAGAGATAGTGGCAGTATATTGAAAGCAGAAAGCACCTAAAGGATAGAGAGATAGTATTTTGCACAGTGAGAATAATGAGGCATTGGAGCCAGTTGTCCAGAGAGGCTCTGTCATTCTTATTACTGCAGCTTTACAAGATTTGACAGAACAAAACCCTAAGCAACCTGGCCTGAACTCAGTGTTAGTCTTTTCAGTAAGAGGTTGGACTAGGTGATCTCCTGTCTTGTCCAGCTTGAGCAGTTCTGTGAAATACCTTGTGTCATGGTCAACAAGAATCACAGAATCGCACAGAATCACAGAATGGTTGAGGTTGGAAGGGACCTCTAGAGATCTAGTCCAACCCCCCTGCTCCAGCAGGGACACCCAGAGCATCCACATGGAGGTGGAACTTCTTGTGTGTACCCATTACCCCTTGTGCTGCCACTGGCCACCACCGAGAAGAGTTTGGCCCCATCCTCCCTACATTCTCCTCTCAGGTACTTATACACATTGATCAGATCTCCTCTCAGTCTTCTCTTCCCCAGGCTAAACAGGCCCAGCTTGCTTAGAATCTATGGCTTCTGCTAAAATTAAACTGTGTTCTTACCAGCTTTAATCAGAAATTAGGTCAAGTGTTCCTGAACTACTTCTGAGGCTTGTAATTGGGTTGGATTTCATCAGATGACCAGATTTGCTGTCACTCTCCTGTTCTCAAGCTGGCAGGATTCTCTGTGCTCCCTGCTGCAGAAGACATTCTAAAGCTCAGTGAAGTAGGCTGCATTAATGAAAAGTATCTCTTGGTTTGGCCAGCTGTTACCAAACAAGTTTATTCTTTTCTTGTACAAAAAGATTTTTAAAAGACTTGTATAAAAAGCTAGGAAAACATATTTCCCTTTTGAACCAAGGGATTTTAGGAAGCAATGGATGCTGCAGTCAGTGGGCAGCTGATACCCATCAGCAGTGGCTGTGCTTTGGATGAGACAGCTCCAAACCATTCTCATACTAGACTGACCTCTGTATTTGTGCCAAATGGGAGAGGAAAGGAAGCTTTTGTGGGGAACTCTAGTGCCCTGCTTGGGACTTCTGTGTCTGGCAATCTTGATGCAATAGGACAAGAAATGCAAGTCATGTTTTTGGGAGCAGCTGGACTACTAAATGGCTCGAGTGCTAAACAGGCCTAAGGAAGCTGGCTATATATCCAGAAAGCTTTGCTAGGATCTTGCTTTCCATTGGGTTGATAATGAGATTTAAATCATCTTAGACTGGGATAAGAAGCCAAAAGTTGCTAAATAGCATCCATAACAGAAGGACTTGCTTTGGAGTGCCTCTTTATACTGGAGGTGCATGTTGACTCATATTAGACATAGGTCATGCTAGTAATAAGTTAGGACTGGGTGAAAATTCATCGCTTGCCCCACCTGAACCATTGCTATCATTTCTCAATAGCAGATAGGCTTTTTTATGCCTTTGTGCTAAAGAAATGTACATCACTTTCATCAAGACTGCTTGCTTATGTAACTTTGCTATTTCAAATGAAGCAACTGTAGCATTACTTCTGCTTTTAAATGTTTTTCTTCTGTCACTTGACTTACTGCCAGATAGGCAGTTAGAAGATCACATGGCTTAAATAGAAATTCTTGATTCTTTTCACAGAACCAAAAAGCCAGATATTGCGAAAACATCCTCATTTGTCAGCTGATTACTTGAAAGTACTTAACTTTGATAGAGTTATATTGCTTATAGGAACGAGCAGTATTTTACAATTTGCATTAGAACTGCATTACAGGGACCAAAGAATTTCAGGAAACAAACAACTAAATATTCTCTTGTGTATTTTAATTCACCTCCAGCTGTTATTTGAGCTCACTTTCCAGCAGTGGACCTCTGTGGAAACCAACCAAAAAACTGTTAGCTTTCCTTTGGGGCAAGCCCAGCGATGAAACTCCAATTTATACTACAGATGCAGAACTACCTAGTTTTAACTTGCTTAGTTAAGACACGAACTAGATTTTTCTTCAGAAGCCCTTAACCAATGTTACACAACTCTCTGCCTATTCAGATCTTTCCCTTAGGAAAAAAGAAAGCTTAGAAAGGCCAACCTAATCATCACATCAAACAGAGGAACTAGTATATATATATTTTTTCCTCTGGAACAGCTCCTGTCCACAGTTATCCTGTGGGGGACTTGAGAGTGAACAAACAGAGGATTCACACCAGGATATTATAGAAACAAGGTAGAACATATGATACAAATGTGACTGCTGCCTGTTGTGACAGACCTAAACAGCTGAGAAATGGAGTTGTTTGGTTGACTTGCAGTAATCAGTGTGCCATTGTTCAGTTAAGTCTTTGGCACTGTGTCATTCCAGCGGATTCAGGAGATAATTTCAAAAGCAGAACTGGTGTCACTTTACTCACACGAATGTTTATTTCTAAAAAAGTTTATCTTTACCTATGAGAAAAAGCTTGAGCCCAAGAAGGAGATCAAGTTGCAATGCTTGATACTTGCTTAAACACTCAGGACAAAAGTTGTAATTTTACTTCTGTGTAATAAGTTAGAGGGATGCAGGAATATGTGAAAAGAGCCCTGAGTTTTAGATTCATCAAGGACATCTCGTAACACCATGTGCACCAGAAAGCTGCAGTAGCACAGACTTTCCTATTAAACCTTTGAAAATGCATGTGGCTTAGGCTAGTTCCCACTGGATATATAGTGCTCGACCCGTATCTTGCTTTCATTGTACCTGAATTACCCAAGGGTTGTAGTTAAATGCATCTGTTTAGCTTTGGAAGAGCTATGTTCTGTTCTAAGGACCTGCCCAGGACTCCAGTGACAGGAAAACAGTCTGGAATGAGGCAGTTAGTCTGACCTATGTCTTTAGATATGGTGTACTTTTTTTTTTTCTTCTTCTTTAAACAGGGAAATTCAAAGCCTTCTGCTGCATGATGTAAAAATAAGAGCCTTTTAAGAGGAAAACTTTGAACTTCATCCTGCTTTCTGAAGCCTATGACAGTGTCATGTTAGCTACTACAAGCTCAATATGTGACTTTGGGTGAAATGTGGATACTCTTGACTCAGTCTGTTTTCCCTTTTTGCAGGGTTGGCGTGTTGGAGGACACCTTCACCTGTCTTGGTGTTTTGTGTGCCATTGTATTCTTTCCAATTGGGATTCTGTTCTGTCTTGCACTGAGACAGCGAAGATGCCCTAATTGTGGGGCAGCTTTTGGCTAAGGGGATGAATGTGGACGTGCTTATGGAAGCTACAACTGTTAGCATACTCTTTCTAATGTAAATGTCATGTACAATCATTTTATTTGCTTCAGACCTGTTTTGTAAAGTGTGAAGAAATTTAGTCTCTTGCATGTAATTTAAACTTAATCTTTTATGAGCATGTGCATTGCAAAACATGAAAACCCAACTTATTTTCCATGTTTAGTGGCACCTCTTGAAAACTAAATAAAACTGCTCTTCTTTTTGCAATCCTCAACTTGTGGCCAGCTTATTAAGTATTTGGCTAGATGAAGTATGTGACTAGCTTGTATATGATAATACACAGTCTGGACATGAAGTTTGTAACCTGAGCTACAAAGGAGGATGAGTCTATGTCAAAATCCTTATGGTAAAAAGTTTGTTTATTTTTTTTCAGGGCTACATGTGTTTAATGGAACGGTCTCTTCACTCTCTATCTCTTTCAACAAAAATATTGTAACAGCTTTCTCCCATATTTTAAAAGACATGGTTAAATATATCCTTCCTCTAAAGAACTGAGTTGTAGCTGACAAAGTGACAGCCCTGTATTAACTGGGAGGTATTTGCTTATAGGGACAACCATGACCGCAGGAGGTTGTACTAGCAGAGATCCACGTGCTACTGCAGAAGCTTCCCAGCACCATGTGAATTAATATCAGTACCCCAGCCAAGAGCAATATCTGATAGTGCAGCAGGGAGCACTTACCTAAAGAGAGAGCTGTGGTGTTGCCAAATGCTGGCTTTCAGCAGATAAAGGTA